GTGAGCCCCCCACCCCCACCCCCATCCCCCATGAAGGCAGGGATCTGGGTTCCCTGGTGTTTCCCAGGCAGGGTGCCTCACTCGTAGTCCATGCTCAATGAACATTTGAGGATGAACTGATGGGGCCCTCCTTGTTCCCCTGCTGCTGGCTCAGCCCCTTGGGCTCAGCACCTCTGACCCGCTTCCCTCTCTGTTTCCAGACCGGCCTCATTGTCGCCTGCTACCACGGCTTTGTGGATGCTGTGGTGGTCTTGGCAGAGTGCCCCCATGTTGATGTCAACTGGCAGGACAGCGAGGGGAACACGGCCCTAATCACAGCTGCGCAGGCAGGTAAGACCCGGCTTCTTCTTCCCCTCAGAGTCCAGGCCTGAGAGCAGCTGCTGGGGTGTGGGGGACCCTGGGCATGACCTCAGCTCCAGACATGAATGTAAAGAGGGAACCTGAGCAGGGATCCTGTCCTACTGCTCAGAGGTACAAGGAAAGGGCGACGGGTGTGGTGCACACCTTCTGTGCACTGGGGACCCAGCAGTGCAGAACTCAGCACTGGGCAGAGCGGACCCGGAGACGCCCCAAAGCTTTGGAGGCTGAAGCTGCACCGCAAACCCAACCTGGTGGTCACTTTACCTGGAGCTTCGCACCCCACCGCCATCGGAGACTCGGGATCAGAAAGATTCGGGGGAACTCGCTAGCGGAAGAGACATGCCCGGTGTTAGTGATGGTATAAAAGTAGACACGCTTCCCGGGCCGCCTCGCACTCGGCCTGGAGATGTAGAGAGAGCCCGGAGCTGCTTGCAGGGCGTGTGTCAGTGTAATGCGGCGGGGCTGTTTGTGAGACACCAGGTGAGCGTGCGTCCCAGTAAGTGTCCTTCTGCCCAGGCGTCCTCTCCAGAGGCGTCCGCGTGCCCATACCACCGGGCACTCTGTGGCTGTCCTCTCCCAGGACGGCATGCAGGCCTTTTTGAGACAAACATGACAGCTGTGCTGGTCGCCTCAGGGCCGCACTTGGTTTGTAACCGTGGTAGTAACCGGTTTCGTAACTGACCGCTTTCAAAATGCTTGGCTCCCAGGATGACAGCCTTGCGTCACGCAGGTTCTCAGTTGCAAAGAAGCGCTTCTGGCTGAGCCGGAAGGACCAGGTGTGGGCGGCTCGGGCTGGAGGGAGTTGTTGGGAATCCGACCCAGTCAGGGCCGTGGAGCTGGAGAAAATGCCCCAAACCACACCGCCGCACGTTGGTTATGGAAAGTAAACATCTGCCGCTGCCCCCAGAGAGAGACCTACCTGCCTGTCCCGTCTCGCACCACCAGCTGGTGTCTGAGCAGCGTGATCGAGCAGGGAGCGCCCGGAGGCTGAAGAAGCCAGTGTCTGCAATGTCACCCCCCGCCCCCCTGCCCCCGCCCGCCCTCATGTGCGGGAAGCAGCCTGTGTACATGCCTTTCAGTCAGGATGTGGGAGGTGGAGAAAGCCCTGACTTACAGAGGGGTCGGGGTGTCCTAGCACACGGTTGCTTCACCAGGTTTCGGGGTGTGAAGCTTTACCACCACAGAGGTAGGGCCACCAGGCTTTGAAAGCCCAGTTGCACAACTTCCTGAGCTGGGAAAGTGGGAATGGATATGGTGACCGGGCAGTGACCAGGGGCTCATCATTCAGTACCTCCCACTGGCCAGGAGCTGGGTCGGTGCCCAGGGGGTGGGAGTCGAGGGCATTTCTGCCCTTGGGTAATTCTCCAGTTAATGGCCATCTGATGGAGCTCTGAGGGCGGGTGCCCTGGATGCTGTGCAGTGAGAACACTCCATCTAGCCTGGTGGTTCAGGACAGGGGTTGTGAAGGAGGGAGCTTGAGCTGGGTGGTGAAGAAGTCAGAGGCAAGCTGGTCCAGCCAATGCATCCCAAAGCCACAGGGCCCAGAGGGAGCCCGGTGCGTCTTAGGAATGGCAGGTTAGTGTGGCTGTAGGACTGCTTGTGTCTAGGACAGATGAGAAGCGTAGATAAAATGTGAGGGAATGCATGTGAGTGGCATGAGTCTGCGTGTGTGGTGACGGGGGCCAGATGACCCTGGTGGGCCCAGAGGCGGTTGCAGAGGCAGAAAGCTCTGGTCTCGGTGGCTGTGATGGGGGCGATGCAGGACAGGTGGAGTCTGGCCCGGCTGTCAGCCTCTGGACCGTGGATGCTGCTGACTGCAGTGGGGGTGGTACCAGGATGGGCTCCAGTTGTGCTCAGGCCTTTGAAGGGCTGAGGCAGCCAAGTAAGAGGTCTCGACGGATGGGGGTGGGGAGTGTGGGACGTTCCAATGAGTTCACAGGTGACACTGAAGCTGTTGGTCTGGGGACCCCTCTTAGAGGTTCTCATTTTTTTTTTTTTATGAAGGCTGCCCCTGAGGGGCCAGTGAGGACCAGTGCCCAGGGGTTGAGGTGCATTAGCCCCTACCCATGCTGCTCATGCGGGTGGGCTCTCCCATTGACATAATACATCACATTTACTGAGTATGAGTTTCACATGTTTGGGTGAACTATCTGTTAGGCACTATATTAAACTTCTTACTCTAACAGATTTACTTTTAGACTATAGAACATAGAGTGAGAACTGCTTTGAAAATGAATTTATCTCTTCATTCATAATCCAATTTTAGCCTTCACATATGTAAAAAATAACTTATATTTCATTTTCTTTAGTTTTATTATTTTAATCCTCACCCGAGGGGTGAGGATATATATATATTTCAATATATATATATTATTGAAACAGAAACATCAATCGGTTGCCTCCCAACTGGGGATTGAACCTGAAATCTAGGTATGTGCCCTGACTGGGAATCACACTTGCAACTTTTTTGGTGTACAGAATGATGCTCAACCAACTGAGCCACCCAGACAGCCAAAATAACTTACATAGAGATTCTCATTTTAAATGGTGGCTGTTGCAGCCTCTCAGAGGACATTAAAGCTGGGGGCAGGGGTCACAGACCTGTGTGAGATGTCAGATGATACACAGAGCCATCCTTAATCAAAGTGAGAATAAAGGAAAGCAACCAAGGGGCTGCTCTTGGCGTTCTGTGCTGTTGTACCAGAGAGTCTGTTTAGGCTTTTCGCTGCTAGAATTAGGTGATGCCCCATTTCATCCAGTTCCATAACCAGTTGTACTTATTTGATGATTTCTGTATTTCAGAAGATGTCTAGTCATATGTGCTTACAACAAAAAATCATTATTAAACAAAAAAAACCCCTTTCATTCTCCCAAATGCTCCATCTCCCAAATTGACCAAGTTCTAGCTACTTGCCCTTTCAGATTTCTCCTTTTCCAACACAGGGCGTGCGTCCACTTTTATTTAAATGAAGAGGCTAACACAGTTGAGATCGTGGTTTTAACTTTTTTCACTTACTAGATCTATATCTTTTTCCATTTACTAGATCTATATCTTTTCTACCGACATGCACAAGATTACCTTGTTCTTACAGGCACATTCCTGAGTGTGATTGTATGTTCCTGGCTGTGTCCCCCCTGTCCAATATCTGTGAGATAGTTCAATAAACAGTGGCTCATCCATTCTATACAAGATCCTGCTTTAACACAAATACTTATTTAGCAATTTCATGTACACCAGCTGCGCTAAGTGCTGGGTCTACCACAATGAACAGAAGCACACCTACTCCTGCCTCCCAAAGTCTAGTTCATGTGGGGGAAGGGAAGGCATTTGTGTCTGGGTGGTGCATTTCTGAGGAGGATGCATCTGGCAGGGTCCTGCCTGGGAACAGGTGGAGCAGTAGGCGTGCTCAGAGGGTAAACTGAGGAGCTTATCAGGGGACTGTTAGTGGGGGCGGGGCAGAATTAATGGACAGGACCCTGGAAAGAGTTACCCTGGCAGAGGGCTTGGCTGCCTTTCAGGCACTGTAACCTGAGCAGGCCCCTGGGGGGGAGGCGGGTGGGGAGGCTGGGGTAAGTACCCCCCTCTGTTTCCTCCATCCAGGTCCCTGTGCTGAGCCCCACTGGAGACTTTAGGGCTAAGGAGCAGGGCAGATTTTGGAGATTATCGTCCCTGCAAAGCAGGGCAGAGGAGGAAAGAAGTGCATGGATAGCTTCTAAGAGCTTATCATAGGGCATGTACATTTTTTAGAATTTTTCTTTTTAAATATATATCTTTTTTATTTCAGAGAGAGTAGAAAAGAAAGTGAGAGAGAGATAGAAACATTGATGAGAGAGAAACATTGATGGGCTGCCTCCTGCACATCCCCTACTGGGGATTGAGCCCACATGTGCCCTGACCAGGAATCAAACCGGTGACCTCCTGGTGCATGGGACGGCACTCAATCAACTGAGCCACACCGACTGGTGGCATGTACATTTATGTGGCTGCTGCCAACTGGCCTTTAGAAAAAACTGTACCAATTCATAGTTCCCAGCGAGTTCCCAAGCTTGTTCTTGCCAGCTGGGGACATGATCACTTTTCAGTGTTTGCTGATTGTTGTTTGCAATTGGGTTTGCCTGATTCTCACCGGAGCCTAGGCTCTGCGGTGCCGTTGGGGTGCAGTTTGCGGAGTACCCAGAGAAACGGCTTCCACAACGAGGAAATTGCCTTCTCACGCAACAGGACGTCTGAAGGCGATAGCTGGAGGGTTGCTTCACTGGGTAGCTCTGTGATGTCAGGACCTGGGGCCAGCTTCTCAGAAACGCTCTTGACCTTTCCCTCATGATCTCAAGAAGGACCTGGTATGGCTTCCTGTTGCCACACACAGAGGCCTCACAAAGGAGGAGCAATCGCTGTCGTGTTTCGTTCTCTAAGAGGGAAAAACATTTCCAGAAGCCTCCAGCAGTTTCGTTTACATCTCATGGCCGGGTCACATGGCCCACGCCAAAACAACTGGCTGGCAGGGGAGGTGGAATGACCTCAAGTGACTTGGTCTAGCCAACACCGGCCCCAGCAGAACCTGTGTGGTTAAGGAGAACTTTAAACAGCCACACGTTAATATTATTTGCTACTGCAACTGTGTTGGATGTCTGAGAGTTGGCAGTCCTGGCTTTCTACAGGACTCACTCAGCGTCTGTGAGAATAAATTAGGATGCAAATGCTGTGATCTGCCTGCCGGGTGTTCTCTACAGGCTACTTAATGCACAATAAAAATGCAGCCAAGTCTCTATTAGGCCTTGCAATGGAGAGGAGAATGTATGGCAATAAATCCTCAAATAATCCCTCAGTCTCATTTAGCCAGTAATTTCCATTTCTACCATACCTCCCCTAACAAAAATACAATACAAAATCAGATAAGCGAAGAAATGAATAGTAAGTCCCAGGGATGGAGTGATGTGTTTCTCGTTCCTCCTTAACAAATGGCAGGAGT